GCCAGCTGCTCGGAAAGCTCTGGACAGATGCAGTGAAGGCTCCTTCCTGCTAACCACGTGAGTGAGAGATCGTTTTCAGAAATAGACCTTAGATTGCCACTTCCTTCTGTGGTCTAGGAAGTTAGCCTCTAGGAACCATATTTCTGTGTTCATTTAAAAATTTTTCATACTGATTCAGCTTTCTAGTAGGGTTTTCAGTGTAATCTTAAATTAATGGAAATGGTATGAGGATTAAGAAATAAACCTTTTCAGTTGTCAGTAGGTTGTCATTTAATCAGTGTTAAATCTTCCCTTACTTTGAAGTGTTAGAACTCTGAAAAGTTGTTTTATGCATGCAGCATCTCTCTTAGCATTTACCCCAAGTCGTCTGGAGTTCTGTAGATACTGGGTATTTAGGCTGTACTTAAGTACCATATCTGTCTACGTTGAATATCTTTTTTAAGGCTGTATGCAGAGATCTGAGGCCTGACTCCATGCTGTCAACCCCAGATTCCACATAATGCCATTAAAAGGACTTGGTTACTTGGGGCTGGATGTAAAAACCCCTTCAGAAGTATGTTTAATTGTCCAGTCCTGACCCCTCACTAGTTCATTGTGCCAGTGGCAGATGTAGAGAGGAAGTCTAGTGTGGAGTATAATTAATTAACACTGAGCTTTTTTTTTTTCTTTCTCCCAGATTTCCTCGGCCTGTGACTGTGGAGCCCATGGACCAGTTAGATGATGAAGAGGGACTTCCAGAGAAGCTAGTTATAAAGAACCAGCAATTTCACAAGTATGTGGTCCTGACAGATTCCTTGCTAGATGTTTGCCTATTCTTAAGGAAGCTTGTAAAGGGATATGTAAAAGAGACAGGTTTTTACTATATGTGTTCACTGGCAGCCATTATCTTAGCCCTTAGGAGGAATGCAATGCTTATTCGTTGGGGGGATCTTGGACCAAGTTTTAGTAAACTAGGAACCTTGTCTGTAGGGAACGAGAGCAGCCACCCAGATTTGCACAGCCTGGCTCCTTTGAGTATGAGTATGCCATGCGCTGGAAAGCACTCATTGAGATGGAGAAGCAGCAGCAGGACCAAGTGGACCGCAACATCAAAGAAGCACGTGAGAAGCTGGAGATGGAGATGGAGGCTGCTCGCCATGAGCACCAGGTCATGCTAATGAGGCAGGGTGAGTATAGCCCTATAAGTCTTAAAACTAGAAGAAGGAGAAAATAACTTTATTCAGGAGTCTTTGTATCAATCAGTAGAGAAAGGCCTAAACCTCTACTTTTATTCTCTTAAATATTTTGTTGATCTTGGTAGGCAGATGAGCTTGGAGATGTGGCAGAGAATACTGGATTCTGTGGAGAAGGAAATAATAGGTTTGACTTCATTTTTGGAATCTGGATACCTTGGATGGCCACTCAGGGATTATATATCCCCTTTGGTTTCTGGATCTTTATGGAAAATTATTGGCCCTATATGAGGAGAATGAAAAATACTCTTAAATCAGACTTTTGTTTTTCTAGATTTGATGAGGCGTCAAGAAGAACTTCGGAGGATGGAAGAACTGCACAACCAAGAAGTGCAAAAACGAAAGCAACTGGAGCTCAGGTAACTTTTCTCAAACCCTTTTTCTCTGACAGCTCTAAAAGATAATGTCTCACTCCTGCTTCCTACCACTATGCTCCCTTGTGCATTTGTAAATATGTTGGCACATATTTCCTGGCTGCTTCTCAAGTTCTCTCTTTGGATGAGAGAGGTTTCAGCTGCCCATGGTTCTAAGAATTACCCAGGATTGCACTAAAAAGGAAGCAGCTGAGTGCTGGTCTCAGGAGGCTCCTTTGGGAAAGAACTTGATTCCCTGAAGGACACATTTGGGTTGCTTTGGGGCTGGGCACATTTAACAGTGAGTTTCCTGGAGAGCTGTGCTAGTTTTCAGTAGGCTCTTGATCTTGGCTGAGTCCCCTATTAAGATAATCTGCTCAAGTTCTGGAAGGCCTCTGCTTAAATACCTTGGTGACTCTCTAGGCAGGAGGAGGAGCGCAGGCGCCGTGAGGAAGAGATGCGGCGACAACAGGAAGAAATGATGCGGCGACAGCAGGAAGGATTCAAGGGAACCTTCCCTGATGCGGTATATCTCTCATGTGCCCATGATATATCAGGCCAGTCATAATGGGACAAACCCACCATGAATTGTCCACTAGGACTATAAAACACACCAGGTTATGACCAATTTTTCCATTCTATGAAACTCCTTTTAGAAAGAAGAATTCATAGGAAGGAAAGGTAAGGTTTGAAGGGGAGCTCTTGCCTCACAGGCAATTTAGGATGAAAAGCTGGGACCAGTGTATGCTGTTTAAACTCAGTGACTGTAGGATGAGATATATTCAGTCTTGTAGCAGCCTTGACTAGTCTTCTGATGTCCTGGCAGTTGTACAGGTTGGAGCCCTGGAAATCAACTATCTCTTCCCCTTTCCTTTCACCTCTCCTTCTGTTCCTAATAGGAGGCTCCGACCTTGAACTCACTGCACAACTAGCAAGGAGCTGTTGTCAGTGTTCTCAGCTTGGTCTCAGTGCACTTCGGATGTGTTATCACTGTCTGCTTCCCTTAGTGTGTGGTCCTCGATGGATTGTGGTAGAATGCAGTGTTGTCTTGGACTCTCTTGAGTGTTTTTTGTTTTTCAGAGAGAGCAGGAGATACGGATGGGCCAAATGGCTATGGGAGGTAAGGACTTAGGAGGTTAATGGCTCTGATTTCTTTTTTTGTCTCATCTCTTTTGAACTGTGTGGCTTCTACTTAGTCCAGGCTTAAGGGGCTGACATTTCCAGGAGCATTGTTTTTGGAGGGTAACATGTCTTAGCCCAGAGGTCTTACTGAATTGTTTCCTTTGGCACAGAAAGAGACTGAATCTCTGTCTCCTGTACTGATCACACTACTCTGCTTTAGGTGCCATGGGCATAAACAACAGAGGCGCCATGCCCCCTGCTCCTGTGCCAGCTGGTACCCCGGCTCCTCCAGGACCTGCCACTATGATGCCAGATGGAACTTTGGGATTGGTAATAATCTGCAGGGTCCTACAGTAACTAAATGGTGATAGGAAGAGAAAGGACTTGGCCTTCACAGTCCCTGGGCCTGCCATGATTTTGCTTCAGATAATCAGTCTTTAGGACCACTGTTATCCATTAAATGTAACCTCAAGATCTTTATTTTTGAATCTTGAGCAAACCCAGTCTCAAACTATACTTTATCAGGAGTTAAGCAAATGCCTCTGTCTGACTGGCCAGTCTGATTGACTGTTTACTTGCTACCCTGGGTGAACCGGTTCTTTTTGGGAGGGAGACAATGAAGGCTAGGCATTATCACATAAAATAGATGTGAATCCAAAAGGCTTTATGGCTCCTACAATCCTGAGGTGGTTTTAGTTCTAGTGTCAAAATGTTAAAACCGGATGGGCTTAAGGTTGCTGAAGAGTGATGGTCTGCACTTGTCCATATACCTAGTTCAGGAAAAAGGACTTGGCTATAACTTATCCACCCTAGGAATTGAGTATGTAATATTGCTTGGCCAGTAGGAATAGGGATAAAAAGTTAAAGATAGGATGGTTGGGGGGGTTCCATAATTCAGGCAACCTTCCTTTCAGGGGTATCCGCTAGAGTTCTAAGCAGGTTTGGTCACCCCTAGCACCAGGAGCCTTGAATAGTTGAGTGGAATTGGTCTCCACGGGAGGGACTAGAGGTGGGTGGGAAGCTTAGGACATAGATTCTATTGTAACATTGCTCTCTTTTTCTCTTTAAGACCCCACCAACAACTGAACGCTTTGGCCAAGCTGCTACAATGGAAGGAATTGGGGCAATTGGTGGAACCCCTCCTGCATTCAACCGTGCAGCTCCTGGGGCTGAATTTGCTCCAAACAAACGTCGCCGATACTAATAAAATTGCAGCGTCTAGTTTCCCAAAACCCTTAAAAGAAGGACCCTTTTTGGACTAGCCAGAATTCTACCCTGGAAAAGTGTTAGGGATTCCTCCCAATAGTTAGGTCTTCCCTGCCTGTACTACTTACTCTAGGGACTATGCTGGAGACAGAGGGCAAGGGAGGGGCGATATTTAACAAATCAGTTCTGTGGTATTTCGTTTAACTAATCAATTCTGTGTGGTGCATTCCTGAAGTCTCAAGTGATTGTTGAGGGCCTGGGGGGAAGCCATGGCAAAATGGATCCAGTTAGAGCCCCCATTAATCTTAACCATTCCATTCTTTGTCCATCCTGTTTTATTTGCTTTCTCATTCTTACACCCTCCAACCCCAGAGACACTGCCACATATACCACAAAAATCAAACATCCCCCCAATGACCTTAGCCCCATCGCTCCATTCACTCCCAGGTGGGAATTCGGGCAAATGTCCGCAGAGGTCACAGACAACATGCATACGGTTCTGTTATAGCCCATATATTACCCCTTCATGTCCTAAGGAAGACATTTTCTCTTAGTGATTTTCATTTTAGTATACCTTTTAAAAAATCTTGTGTTAACTTGCCTCCATCTTTTTCTTGGGTAAGGACAACCCAGGAATGGCCCTTTTGTGTCTGATGTTGCTGTTCACAGCTTTTCTTGATAGGCCTAGTACAATCTTGGGAAAAGGGTTGCTGTATACTGAAGGTTGGACAGTAACTCTTACCTTTGCCTATCTTAGGTAGTTATGCTGTGCATTTTTTATTGGTGTACCATGTTTGATTTGTCCCTGATACCTTTGGAGTTTTTCTGAAAAATGGAGCAGTAATGCAGCATCAACTTATTAAAATACATTTTAAGCCTTTTAATTTTCTGTGCTATTTTTGAAGGGGAAGGGAGGGAGGGGAGTTCTATCTCAGAAAATGAGCACTAGGCTCTATAAGGATAATCTCATATGACCTTTTGCTTAAAGTATTCATCTAGGCAAACACGGGGAGGTTGGGTGCCTACTGTGACTAAAGTGGGTGACAAAGGTCGGTGGCTATTCGCGGTATGCAGAAGTAATGATGGGAGGAAAGCTGCTTTGAAAGAGAAAGAAAATGGGCTGGAGGAAATGGGGTACCCTCATTGAGCTGGGAGGGGTCTCAAAATTGGTATTGGTTTCTGAGCAGCTGCTGGTCAGAGGCTTGGAATTGGCATGGTAAATCTAAAACGGTCTTAGCAGTAGTAAGCTGACCTCACCCAAGTTCTCAGCCCTACTCAGCCTGATCCTTTTTTCTTGAGCCTCAGAGCTAAAATGCTCCTGAGCTCTTTCCTATTGGCTGGGAAGACCAGCTGAAGTTCCCTTGCCCATGTTAGGAGGTATACGCCTCCTGAACTAAAGATAGAAACAGCTGGCCCTTCCAGGCAGCTAAAAGCCTCCAGACTAAGAGGTATTCCCCACCCGGCGGCCAGACTCCTTGCAATACCCTTTTCAGTAATTCTACCAACACCTCCATGTCTCTACTCTGCCATAACAAAGGCTGTGGGCAGCACTTTGACCCCAGTACCAACCTTCCTGGTGAGTAATCCTAACCTTGCCTGGGGGCTCGGTGTGTGCTGGGGGAGTGGTCAGCTGTGAGCTGTCTGTGAAAGGAACAGAAAAAGAAATTTAGTTTTCCTGCCCAAGTTTCATTGATCTGGGTGATCTTCAGGCGTCACTGATTTTGTTTTTACAAAAGTATATACTTCCTGGGGAAGAGGTAAGAAGTGATATTCAGTGTGGTTACCTTTCCTTCCTTGATCCTTCTGGTATCCACAGATTCCTGTTGCCATCACCCTGGGGTCCCAATCTTCCATGATGCACTTAAGGTGAGGAGCAGGCGAGGGGGAAGAGCAAGGGCATGTCCCAAAGGAAATGTACCCAGGAATCTAAGCTGATCTGGGTCTCTTGTTATCAGGGTTGGTCCTGCTGCCGGAAGCGAACTGTAGATTTCTCTGAGTTCTTAAACATCAAGGTAAATTATTTACTTCCTTGGATTCTGCCCCTAATAGAAGGATTCTATCCCTAATCCTTCTCTCCTTATCTGTACTAGGGCTGTACTGTGGGACCACACTGTGCTGAGAAGCTCCCTGAGGCCCCTCAACCTGAGGGCCCTGCCACAAGCAGTTCACTTCAGGAGCAAAAACCTCTGAATATGATTCCAAAGTCAGCAGAGACTTTGCGCCACGAGAGGCCCAAGTAAAGAGGAGGAGGTCCCTGGGTTTTTCCTACCTTCATGGAGTGATTAATGGGTCACTGGGGTATGGGAGCTAGGGAGTAGAGATGTGAGGAGGGTCAGGTGTCAGGGCTTGGTATATATTTTGTGCCTTAGGGGAAATTTGTGTCCGGAAATAATGTCCTTTGCTCTAAGGTGGTATGGGGTGAGGGGATAGGTATTTTGAGTTAACAGAGTAGATAGCCCCTCACGGATATATACTTAGTTATAACACAAGGGGATTGCTGAAAATGACTTGATTTTTTCTTTTTGGAAAAGAGCTTTAAAATAAGTTTTACATCAAGAAAAGGATGTGGTACATTGGCAGCCAGGAGGCTGCAAAGAAGAATAAGTTAAATTTGAGGAAATAGTATGAGCAACAGAAGAAAGTCATATTAGGTCTACAATTAGATGAAGAGGAAGAGGAAATGATACCGTTCTGCAGAGAAATGTGGTTAGACGTAGAGCAACTGAGTAGATGGGCAAGAGAAGACCTGGGGATTTCCCCAGGGTTCGGGGATTTCCCCAGGTTTCAGGGATTTGGGATGTCAACAGAGAAGAAAATTGGCAATGGGATTGCTACCCAACTTCTCCAACCCTGCCCCCACTTTCACCAGACTTCTTCGACTCCATTACTACTGGTGGGAGTGTTGGAGCTGTCAATCATAGTTAATGGGTCAGAACTAAATCACCCCACTCATACTCCCTAGGTCAGAGTTGCTACCAAAGCTGCTTCCACTAAATATATCCCAAGCCTTGGAAATGGCATTGGAACAGAAGGAATTAGACCAGAAACCTGGAGCAGGTAAGTGGGTCCTTAGTAAGACAGGCTTTGCAGAGTGGAATTTAGTGAATGTGGCAGTTGGGTGAAGGGAATGGATAGGTTCCTGACTCTGTTTCCCTTGCCCAGGACTCGACAGTAGTCTGATCCAGACTGGTTCCAGCTGCCAGAACCCAGGATGTGATGCTGTGAGTGAGAGTTTGGGGGGAGGGGGGCGGAGGCAAGCATGTGGCTGAGAGATGCTACAACTGAGGGATGACTGGGTATACAATATAAGGCTGCATGAGGTACACTTTAGAATGACCTGATTCTTTTTCTGTTTCTTGTTTATCCATCTTAGGTTTACCAAGGCCCCGAGAGCGAAGCTACTCCATGTACTTACCACCCAGGAGCACCTCGATTCCATGAGGGGTGAGAGAGGGGACTCAGTGGTGTGTGAGACAGGTTTCTCCCAATGTTGATTATAAGATGGGAGTGGGGGCTTGTGGAGAGGGGAAAGGAGATTCAATTGAATTATCTTCCTACCTCAGGATGAAGTCTTGGAGCTGTTGTGGCATCCAGACCCTGGATTTTGGGGCATTCCTGGCACAGCCAGGATGCAGAGTTGGTAGACATGACTGGGGGAAGCAGGTAAGCCCCAACTTTGCTTAACTCTTGATTAGAACCCAATTCCAGAAATAATTCCTCCTCCCTGTACCTCATGGACAAGCTCTCTATGTTCTCCCTTTTGTTTGGACCAAATAAGATTCTGCTCCTTATCCCTCACAAGCCCAGAGGCTTTGCAATATGAGGTAGCCTGATTTAGTTCTGACCCATTAACCATGACTGACAGCTCCAACACTTCCACCAGTAGTAACGGAGTTGAAGAAGTCTGGTGAAAGTGAGGGCAGGGTTGGAGAATCTTTCTGAGACTCTCTGTCTCTCCTCCACATATACCATGAGAACTCCCCTTGGGTTAAGAGTTCATTCTTACCACCCACTGTTTCACATCTCTTTAGCTGCCAGCGTCTTGCCGTCATGATTGGCACCAGACAGATTCCTTAGTGGTGGTGACTGTATATGGCCAGATTCCACTTCCTGCGTTCAACTGGGTGAAGGCCAGTCAAACTGAGGTGAGGAATGTCTGATGCTGGATGGGAGGCTAGTGAATTGGGTTATACTACAATCTCACAGGCAGAGTTGCTGTATGCAGTTAACATGTAGGCTCCATAGTCCCCTGAGAGGAAAGTAAAGCTATTAGGTTAGGGTTATCTGGCTGACCTGTGGATGTAGAGATCACACCTCTGGCCTGGTTCTCTGTCGTAATGACTTGTTCTGACCTTCTGGGATTGTTACTACCCCTGTAATTCTTTTCTCTCAGCTTCATGTCCACATTGTCTTTGATGGTAACCGTGTGTTCCAAGCACAGATGAAGCTCTGGGGGGTAAGTGAAGATAAGGGGACACAGGAGGGGGAGGCAGATGGGGCAAAAAAGAAGGGCCAGACTGGAATGTCTTGAGGGAAGGAGTTGTAGTGGGAAAGTGAAGGTTTTCTTTTCATTTGCTTTGATATTCTCTATCTCTCTCTCTCCCTCCTCTTTTTCTCCCTCTCCTCTTCCCTCCCCTTTCTTTCCTCTTTCTCTCTCTCTCTCTCCCCCTTACTATATTGTGTTATTCCTCCCCTATCTTTTTTCCCCACTTTACATTTTTAATTTTTCTGTCATTCATCACCACCCCACCCTGACCCCAATCTCTCTGATTTCCTCATTTTCTCTTTCTTCTGTGTTCCTCTATCTTTCCCTCCTCCTCAGGTCATAAACGTGGAGCAGAGCTCTGTCTCCTTGATGCCATCTCGGGTGGAAATCTCCCTGGTCAAGGCTGACCCGGGATCCTGGGCCCAGCTGGAGCACCCCGATGCACTAGCTGAGAAGGCGAAGGCAGGGGTTGGGTTAGAGATGGATGAGGAAGAATCTGAGGATTCAGATGATGATCTGAGCTGGACAGAGGAGGAGGAAGGGGAGGAAGTGATGGGGGAATAGTGACACCAGACAGTCAAGTGTCTAGACAGGACCTCACTGACTCCCTTAGGATCTCAGAGACCAGGATATGGTTGGCCATGTGGCGTCATTGAGCAGCAGGAGGCTGAAGGAGGGGAGAACAAAAGTGTCCAAACCATGCTGTTTTTTCCCTTAAATAAATCTTGTATTCTGCAGTTTCACATAGTGTCGTTCTCTCACATCACTATCTAAGATTGTCTTCATTTCCTCCAACTTCTGTGTGTGTTCAACACACATGTGTGAAAACAAGCACATGCACAATCTATTCTTCCCAACCACCAGGTATTTACTGATTACTTACTCTGTGCCCATTTATGTATGAGGTGGTTTAGAGATTTCTGAGAAACAGAAGACTTACTCATTCCTCTCAGGAAAATTACAGTCTGTCTGACAAAGTCAAGGGTAAGCTACATGAAATAATAATAAACATTATCAAGTAGTTAGAGTGATAAATTGTGCAGTACAGTTTTTAAGTGCTGTAGGAGTTGAGAGAATGGACAGATTAATGTGGACTGTAGTAGAAAGGGAAGACTCCATGAAAGAAGTACATTTTTTTACAGCTTTATTGAGATACAATTCAGATACTATACAACTCAGCCACTTAAAGTGTAAAATTCAGTGTTTTTTCTAGTATAGTCAGAGTTGTGCTACCACAATCAATTTTAGAATATTTTCATCACTCCAAAAAGAAACTCTGTATCCTTTAGCAGTCACTCCCAATATCCCCCCAAACTCATAGGCCTAGGCAATCACTAATCTACTTTCTGCCGCCTATGGATTTACCTATTCTGGATATTTCATATGAATGGAATCATACAATATGTGGTCTTTTGTGACAGGCTTATTTCCCTTAGCATAATGTTTTCAAGGTTCATCCACGTTGTAACATGTATCAGTACTTTATTCCTTTTTATGGCCAAATGACATTCCACTGTGTGGATATACCACATTTTGTTTATCTCTTCATCAGTTGAGGTACATTTGGGTTGTTTCCACTTTTTGGCTATTATGAATAATGCTCCTATGAACATTCATGTACAAGTTTTTATGTGGACATACATTTTCATTTCTCTTGGATATATACCTAGGAGTGTAATTTCTGAGTCAAATGGTAACTTTAACCTTTTGAGGAACTGCCAGACTATTTTCTGAAGAGGCTGCACCATTTTACATTTCCACCAGCAGTGTAAGAGGGTTCCAATTTCTCCACATCCTTGATAACTCTTGTTCTTTGTCTTTTTTATTATAGCCATCCTAGTGGGTGTGAAGTGGAATCTCATTTTGGTTTTAATTTGCCTTTCCCTGATGGCTCATGATGTTGAGCATCTTTACATTTGCTTATTGACCATTTGTGTATATTATTTGGAGAAATGTCTATTCAAATCCTTTGCCCATTTGTTAATTGGGTTGTCTTTTTATTGAGTTGTAAGAGTTTTTTAAAGTATATTCTGGAGACAAGTCTCTTGTCAGATATATGATTTACAAATATTTTCTCCCATTCTGTGTGTTATCTTTCCACTTCCTTGATAGTGTCCTTTGATACATAAAAGTTTTTCATTTTTATGAAGTCTAATTTATCTATTTTTCCTTTGATTGCTTGTGCTTTTGATGTCACATCCAAGAAACCATTGCTTAATCCAAAGTCGTGAAGATTTGCTCCTGTTTTCTACTAAGAGTTTTATAGTTTTAGCTCTTACATATAGGTCTTTGATCCATCTTGAGTTAATTTTTGTATGTGGTATGAGGTAGAGGTCCAACTTTATGTTTTTGCATATGGATATCCAGTTGGCCCAGCACCATTTGTTGAAAAGATTACTCTGTCCCCATTGAATTGTCTTGGCACCCTAGTTGAAAATTAATTGACCATAAATGTGAGGGTTAAGAAATACATTTTGAATGGAAATTTGAAGAATGAGAAATTTTTTTATGGGTGTGGAAGAATACGGAAAACCAGGCTGGGGCAGGAAGGTGTTTTATTCTACTTTTTGTGTTTTATTTTAAATTCCAAAAGTAGTACATTGTCACTGTAAAAGACTCAATTAAGAAGTATGTAGAGTAAAAAGTAAATGTTCAGACTCTCTCCAAGTGTAGTCTGTTTGCTGTTTGTAATCACTGCTAACATATCAGAGGGTATGTTTAAGAGAGGGGACAAAAAAGTTAGTTAAGTGGAGTGTGGCTAGATTGGAAGGAGCCTAAAATTCTAGATCAAGGATTTTGAACGTGATTTAAAAGAAAGTTAAATAGGCATTATAGGCATTTTCTTTTTAAATGTAGATTCTTAATCAGAGGAGTGATACCTCTTTTCTGAGTCTCTCTTGAGTCAGATTTACTCCTTCAACAGGGTGGCCAAGAATCTGGGAGATTCAAACTCCAAGAAGCTCATCAAGCCTCAGATGATCTCCAGTTCTTTTCTTAGCACCCTTTCCTCTCAGTTCAGATTCAAGGAACATAAAGTCTCATTGGGAGCTAGGAATAAGATGGGGGTGGGAGAATGGACATGGGCAGCAAAGGTGAGGGATCACAGCATAGCATGGCTGAGGATTTGGGGATTGAGGCAAGATTAGGGGATATTAGGGAATGTGTCCAGGGGTATGACCTCCATCTCTCAGAGAAGTTTGATCAGAAGTGAAGGAGCTTCCTGGACCTCCAGGATATTCAACAATTCTGGCTCAGCGCTCTGCTCTCATTCTATGGATTTGAGGTGCAAATAAAGTTTCCCCCTTGAAATGAACCCTTCAGATCCTTTCTAACCCTGGCAGCAGTTGACTTTTTTTTTTTTTTTTTTGTGAGGAGGACCAGCCCTGAGCTAACATCCAATGCCAATCCTCCCCTTTTTTGCTGAGGAAGACTGGCCCTGGGCTAACATCCATGCCCATCTTCCTCTACTTTATATGGGACGCTGCCACAGCATGGCTTAACAAGCGGTACGTCGGTGCGCACCCGGGATCCGAACCGGCGAACCCCAGGCCGCCGCAGCAGAACGTGCGCACTTAACCGCTTGCGCCACCGGGCTGGCCCCTATGCAGTTTACTTTTAATGTCATTTTTCCACAGGTGAGTTGACATCAATAGGGGCTTTGGTGGACATCTTAAAAAAATTTAGAGGTGTAAAACGCATACAGAAAAGTGCATGAAGTGCACTAATCTTAAATGTATAACTTTTTTCTATCTTATCAAAATCAGGGGACCAGCAACTACCCAGAATTCCTGGAGAGGATGGAGGTGAGGAATCAAAAAGTTCAAGTAACCCTTGTTGTATATAAACTTGATATATAAAATTTCAAATTTATAGCATTAAGAAAGTCATGTTCTAGCTCATTTTACATAGCCCAAAGCCTAAAATGTAAGAAAGTTTCAAGCAAGTGTATAGCATTAACAATAACAACAACAACAAGAACCACAGCTACCATTTCTGATGTAAACTAACCTGCCAGGCACTATGCTAAGTGCTTTCTTTGCATGCATTATCTCATTTAATCCCCCACTTCTCACCATCAAATCTACATATTTGTTCACATTAGCACAAATCCTCTCCCTACCTCCTTTTACATTTCTCATTTCTTTCCACTGAGCTTTGTATCCTATCCCTTCACACCTTCCCAGAAAGCTTACACTATTAATTATCCTTTCTCCTGTTTATTCAACCTTTCCCTCTCATTGAATGTTTTCATTGACATTTAAACGTGCTCAAGTCTCTCCAATCTTACAAAAACAATTTCCCTTGACTTCACATTCCTCTCCAGCTACTACTTAACTCCCTTCTCTCCTTTATAACCAAACTTCTTGAAATAACTACTCTTTTTTTATTTCCTTCTTTCTAGTCCCTTCACAACACACTTCAATATGACTTCCAACCTCCTCAATCTGTGGTGATCCATTGGCCACCAAGTTACTAAATCCAATGGATACTTTTAGTCCTCATCTTACTTGATCTCTCAAGCAAAATTTGACACTTATGATGGTTTCTTCCTTGAAATACATTGGCTTCTATGACCCATCGCTTCTCTCAGTTGTCCTCCTACTTCTCTGGTCATTCCTTTCACTCTCATTCGCAGGCTCCTCCTTTTCTGCCTGGCCATTCAGTGATGAAGTTCTTCAGGACTCAGTCCTAGGCTTGCTCTTTTTTTTTTTTTTTTTTGTGAGGAAGATCAACCCTAAGCTAACATCCATGTCAATCCTCCTCTTTTTGCTGAGGAAGACTGGCCCTGAGCTAACATCCATGCCCATCTTCCTCCACTTTATGTGGGACACTGCCACAGCATGGCCTGACAAGCTGTGTCTCAGTGCGCGCCTGGGATCCGAAACAGGGCTGCCAGCAGCGGAGCGTGCGCACTTAACCGGTACGCCACGGGGCCGGCCCTGTCTTCTTATATATAACTCTCATCTAGACACTCTCAATTATGCCCATGACTTCAAATACCACCCACATGCAGATGACTCACACATTTTTATCTCTAGGCCATATCTTTCCTTTGTGGTCCAGATCTGTGTATTATAGTAATAATAGCTAACACATATTTAAAACAGTGTCTGGCATATAGTAAGTACTATATAAATGTTTGCTATTATCAGTACTCCTCCTCGTCCTTTCTCTTCACCAGAAGCTTTCACCTCAGCCTATTAGGAAAGTTGGGGTGTTTTTCCTTGGAGAAGAGGGATATACTCCAATATCCAATTTTATGTTTCAGTAAGAAAATAGGATTTTCTTGACAGTCAGGTTTTGCTAGTCTATAAAATGACAACATTTTTACCATAGCATTGCATCAGCTTCAGGATTAAGGAAGATTATATTCACCTGCTGAGGGAGTTAAGTTTCATGTATAGAATGCCACTGTGCTAGGCACTTCTACCCACATTATTTTACTTAATCCTCAAACCTGTTCTGTGAGGTAGGTATTATCCCAGATTTTTATAGATGAGGAAACCAAGGCTCAGAGAAGGAAATAGCTTGCTTGAGGTCACACAGCTACTGATTAAAACCTCAGTCATTGCTAAGAGCTGTCCTAGAGCCATCTGAAAACATCCAAAATCTAAGGACCCAACTGGGATCTTAGAAGAGGAGCTTAACACCACGCCCCTCTAGCCTCACAGAGTCCCTTTGACAAGCCTGTTTGGGAACCAGTGAGGCCCTTCGTTGATCAATGATGTCTCACATTGATATA